ATTTACGGCCTGTGATATCAACTGCTTCGTTCAAAATAAATTATTGATTGAAAGAAATATTGCATCATATACAACATGATCTTTTTAAATTGCAAAACTGTTAAGTGAAAGTAAACCATTTCTGGCAAAGTCCACTGGATTTCATTGGATTCAAATCTCCGATCACTCAATTTCTACAAGGATCTTGCTTCACAGATTACTCCCGTGTATCAATATACTTACTATATATACTATACTATACTATACTCGGCCGAATTCGTGGCTTTAGATCACATGGGGACAAATGATCTGTGACAAATTATCCATGACCAATGATCCGTGCAATATAAGCCAGACACTGAACATGGCGTTCGCGCAAAGAATTATGGGTAATAAGCACGTGATGGAAAATCATCTATACATTCCTATTCATTTGAATGTGGGGAGACGAGTTTGCGGATGAGAAAAGGTTCGAGGGCCACATGGAAACCTGATTCACTGAGACACTTTCCCCAGGTCAGGGGGAAGGACAGTGATGATCCAGGACATTTATTATCATTTTTGACGCTCTCTATGAACCAATGGCTCCATTGTGTCGGTTGTTATTACATTTCCTGTGTTTGAACTGTTGATTCACCGATCTGTTGTTGTAGACAAATACATTTAATTTAATTCTCAAACTTCCAAACCAACATCAAAACACAAGCACCTGTTCCATTTTCCCCAAAAAAATCACTGGTCTCTATTTAAAACCGTTTTAAATCCATTACCATTACCATGTGAAGAGGCTTTGAATGTAGCCCTGTGCTCTCCACGCGAGGGCCCAGGTGTGCGAGGGGAACAGGCTGATTTCGCTCAATGGGACTCTTCCTGGTAAAGCTAGAACGCTGCGTGCTGATAGGCCATTACTGTCTGCACAGGTGTTCTGAGATACATGATAATTGGAGGCGATTAGAGCGAAAAGAGAAAGAAATGTGAGAGACGGAAATACACTGGTTCAAAAGCACAGAGAATGGTAGTGGTATAAGAAATGTATAAGAAGTACAGTATATAGCATTAGTAGTAGAAGTACTAGCGCTAGATTTATACAGTATCTATAGCCGCTTTTCCATAGTCACTGTACGGCACGGTACAGCACGGCACGGCCGTGTGCGGGTGCTTTTCCAGTCAAAATAGTACCCCTTCAGCGTGGAAGGGATTGTCAGACCATGTAATTTACGCGCAACGTGTAACCAGTAACATTGGTCCAGTGTATGGATATATTGTAACATCGGTGATAGCTGGTTATATAGGGCAGTCTGTTTCACCAGCTGTGCCGCATCATATCAAAGTAGGTAAGAAATTCACCTACTTTGTCTAAAAATAAATGCATCCGCAAATCATGTGCCAGCGAGTGCTATCTTGTTGTGACTGGTAACAGTGTAATACTTTTTCATATAATTAGGTGGCAGCAGATGGCTTATTAAATTATTACAAATTATTGCTTATTGTAAATTTCTCCTGTGTGAGCTCAATAAAGTCTATCTTATCTTATTACTTTGAGACAGTAGAATTAGTGACGCATGGATGGGATCACAGGATGTGATAGGTAGCGGGGACAGAGGCATCTCTAGCGAGACGTGAAAGTGATGAAGACATTTTTGAAAAGGAAAGATGCCATTTCCGAACTGGACAAAATCTGGACCCAGGTGAAGGCCCAAGTATGAGTGGCAGTAAAAAGAAAGACAATTGCTCAAGGCTATACAACAAAAGCTATCTTTCATTTGAATTTACTTTCACCGGGGATGCACTGAAACCGAGTCTGTTGTGTTTGGTGTGTGATGAAAAGCTGTCGAACAGTGCTATGGTCCCAAGCAAGCTAAAACGTCATCTCCAAACAAAACATTCGTCGCTTCATAACAAGAATATGCACTATTTTGTTCGGCTGCGTGAACAAACAGAGAAACAGGCAACTTTCATGAAAAGAACAACAAAAGTTAACAAGAAGGCACTTATACTGTAGCTAGTTACCACGTTGCTGAACTTGTAGCTAAGTCAAAAAAGTCGCACACTGTGGCAGAGACATTAATACTTCCCGCTTGCAAAGTCATTGTTAATGAGATGCTCGGACCTGAGGCAGCTAACGAAATAGCTAAAGTCCCTCTCTCAGATAACACCATTTCCAGACATTTTTACACCGTGAGGCCCTCATAACCAAGACTTAACCAGCAGATCTTGTGCCTGTGTTGGATGACAGGCATGGTAAACTTTGTTACGACTCGCATATTTGCGTCTTTGTGTGAAGCAATGGGAGCAGAGCATAAAGCCTTCCTGTTTCATACGGAGGTGCGCTGGTTGTCGCGCGGCAAGGTCTTGGCCCATGTGTATGAGCTGCGGAAGGAGCTTAAAGTGTTTCTGATTAACGAGAGGTCCAAGTACGCAAAACTGCTTTCAAGTGATGAGTGGTGCGCACGGCTGGCATACCTGGCAGATATTTTTCATCATTTGAATCAACTTCACAAGGATGCAAGGCCAAAATCAAAAACCTTCTCACAGATAAACTAAATGGATTTGGTTCAAAGTTACAGTTACAATGGCAAGATGTTAACACAAATGCATTGTGTGATATACTGTAATAGTTAAACAAGTCTTGAGGAGAGGATGTCATTGTATTTTTCTTCAGCCTCCACTGAAAGCCTTGACTGGGTTAGGAACCCATACAGCCCAGCATCAGTTGGGGGAATGGAAATGACTTTACAGGATCAGGAGGAACTAACTGCTCGCGTGCATAATCCCCAAAAAGCGGGCCTGCGATTGGGATAGCAGGACGTACTGCGCGGGCCTGAGAGCATGAGTGAGAAGCTTCTCGCACAGTCGCTCAGCCGGCTGCGTCCGCTGGGGCCCGTGTTTGTTTAGGCAGGGCGAGCTGAGAATATGAGCGTGCTCATATTCAGCTAGACGCTGAAGCAGGGGAGTCTTTGAGCGAGCTGAGAACATGCGCGCACGCGCACGTTCAGCCAGACGCTGCAGCAGAGGAGTCTTTGAGCGAGCTGAGAATATGAGATGCACGCTCATATTCGCCAGACGCTGAAGCAGAGGAATCTTTGAGCGAGCTGAGAACATGCGCGCACGCGCATGTTCAGTCAGACGCTGCAACAGGGGAATCTTTGAGCGTTTGAGGAAAGTGCGTGCCGCCACCATAATCTTATTGCTTACTTGCTTTGCAGGGAGCTTACGAGGAAGCCGGTAGACGTTGTGCTGCCATGATAGCGGTCGCATCTGGCCGGATGTAGGCGGAGAAAGCCGAAGAGGACCAGCGCCCCAGCTGTTGGAGAGGAAGAGTGGGGGAGCCCCAGCGAGGTCGCGCGCGTGGCAGCGCCTATCCTGAAGGAGTGGGCTGTATAGAGCTGGGGAGACAATTTACAGAGGAGCAGTAGGGATCTTAGCTGAGCTCTGAACCAGGTTGCTGTTATGGGAAGGTTGTCTGGAGCGGAAATTAGAGGTCCGTTAAAATCTTTTTGCGGCGGAGGCGAGTGTAACGCATCATGGACCTGTAGGGGCAGAGAGATGTGTCGGAGCGAGCTATTATTGTGTTGCAGGCGCCTTTGATCTTTAAATGTTTGAGATGAAGGTTGAAATGGTCAGGGGACATTATGTTGGGTGAGAAGAGCGACCTTTGTTTAATGCTTCCACTACGTCGAGATTATCATGCATGACAGAGATCCTCTTTCTCTGCCACGTGTGATTCCACACGCACAGGCCACGACCACTGGGAATGTCTCGTGTAGGGCAGAGGAAATGCTCCGGGAAAAACTAGCGGGCCATGGCCCGGCGAACCACTGGTCCTGGAAGAACCCCCAAAACCCACGGAAGGGGCAGCGTCCGTGTAGAAGCGGAGACCTGTAGGGGCAGAGACATACCGGAGAGGGCCATTGATGTTGCAGGCGCCCTTACGCTTAGAATCTTGGGTTGGAGATTAGATAATCAGGACAATAGGATAGGTTGGGAAAAGCCGTGTCTCGGACCGCATTGAAGGTTGAGTGAGCAGTAGTGAAACGCTTATGCAGAGAAGCCATAGAAGGCGAGCAGGAAGATGCTGCGAGGAGGGCAGACATGTATTTGGAAGAAGAGCCAGAGTTCAGTGCCGCTCAGAGCCGCTGCAGGATGGGCAGCACGATGGGGGAGCCTGCAATCAGAAGAGTGAAGAATACAGGTATGGATGCCTTTGATTAAGAGTCCGATTGACAGCTCAGCGCAGCTACTCGGCCAGCTGCATCTGATAGAATCAGAAGATTAAGCAGGGAGATGAAGCATGACCGCCGAAGCGACCCTGGGAGCATAGGTGCGAGTCCAGCGCAGCGCGGCATACTCAGCCGGGCTGCATCCATTAGAAGCAGGATAAGCTTCTGAGAGAGTGGGTTGCAGCAGTAGCAGTAGCAGCAGCGGCAGCAGCAGTAACCTCAGATAATAACAGCAATAATCCTGTATCAAGCCGCGGCAGCAGCAGCAGTAGCAGCAGCAGCAGCAGCAGCAGCATCCTTAGAAAATAACAGTAATAATCCTGTATCAAAGCCACAGCAGTAGAATGTTGTTGTAGCTGTTCAGTGTTTCAGTAAAAAGAGATGCAAGTGAAGAGAGATGTCAAAGTAAATGAAGCAGCAGCAGCAGTAGCAGTAGCAGCAGTAGCAGTAGCAGCAGTAGCAGTATGAAGCAGCAGCAGTAGCAGTAGTAGCAGTATGAAGCAGCAGCGTTGCAGCATCCGTAGATAATAACAGCAATAATCCTGTATCAAACACCTTTCTTCAATAAAGTAAGTTAGCCCAATACATTTGGTCCTGTTATGTCATGTGACGCGTCCAGTGGACGTCATTAGTCCTTTTAAACAACTTTCTTCAATAACGTATTAGCCAATACATGTGGTCCTGTTATGTCATGTGACGAGTCCAGTGGACGCCATTAGTCCTTTCAAACACCTTTCTTCAATAACGTATTAGCCAATACATGTGGTCCTGTTATGTCATGTGACGAGTCCAGTGGACGTCATGAGTCCTTTTACTACTGTCCACTGTCCTCTACTGTCCTCTGTCCTCTACTGTCCTTTGTCCTCTACTGTCCTCTGTCCTCTACTGTCCTCTGCTGTCCTCTACTGTCCTCAGTCCTCTACTGTCCTCTGTCCTCTGCCCTCTACTGTCCTCTGCTGTCCTCTGTCCTCTGCTGTCCTCTGTCCTCTACTGTCCTCTACTGTCCTCAGTCCTCTACTGTCCTCTGTCCTCTACTGTCCTCTTCTGTCCTCTGCTGTCCTCTACTTTCCTCTGTCCTCTACTATCCTCTGTCCTCTACTGTCCTCTGCTGTCCTCTACTGTCCTCTGTCCTCTACTGTCCTCTGTCCTCTACTGTCCTCTTCTGTCCTCTGTCCTCTACTGTCCTCTGTCCTCTGCTGTCCTCTACTGTCCTCTGCTGTCCTCTGTCCTCTACTGTCCTCTGTCCTCTGTCCTCTGTCCTCTGTCCTCGACTGTCCTTTGTCCTCTACTGTCCTCTGTCCTCTACTGTCCTCTGTTGTCCTCTACTGTCCTCAGTCCTCTACTGTCATCTGCTGTCCTCTGTCCTCTGCTGTCCTCTGTCCTCTACTGTCCTCTGTTGTCCTCTGTCCTCTGCTGTCCTCACGCTGTCCTCTACTGTCCTCTATCCTCTACTGTCCTCTGTCCTCTGTCCTCTACTGTCCTCTACTGTCCTCTGTCTTCTGTCCTCTGTTGTCTTCTGTCCTCGACTGTCCTTTGTCCTCTACTGTCCTCTGTCCTCTACTGTCCTCTGCTGTCCTCTACTGTCCTCAGTCCTCTACTGTCATCTGCTGTCCTCTGTCTTCTACTGTCCTCTGTCTTCTACTGTCCTCTGCTGTCCTCTGTCTTCTACTGTCCTCTGCTGTCCTCTGTCCTCACGCTGTCCTCTACTGTCCTCTGTTGTCGTCTGTCTTCTGCTGTCCTCTGTCCTCTACTGTCCTCTGTCCTCTGTCCTCTGCTGTCCTCTGTCCTCTGCTGTCCTCTACTGTCCTCTGTCCTCTACTGTCCTCTATCCTCTACTGTCCTCTGATGTCCTATGTCCTCTACTGTCCTTTGTCCTCTACTGTCCTCTGCTGTCCTCTACTGTCCTCAGTCCTCTACTGTCCTCTAATGTCCTCTGTCTTCTACTGTCCTCTGCTGTCCTCTGTCTTCTACTGTCCTCTGCTGTCCTCTGTCTTCTACTGTCCTCACGCTGTCCTCTGCTGTCGTCTGTCTTCTGCTGTCCTCTGTCCTCTACTGTCCTCTGTCCTCTGCTGTCCTCTGTCCTCTGTCCTCTACTGTCCTCTGATGTCCTCTACTGTCCTCTATCCTCTACTGTCCTCTGATGTCCTCTGTCCTCTACTGTCCTTTGTCCTCTACTGTCCTCTGCTGTCCTCTACTGTCCTCAGTCCTCTACTGTCCTCTAATGTCCTCTGTCCTCTGTCTTCTACTGTCCTCTGTCCTCACGCTGTCCTCTACTGTCCTCTGTCCTCTACTGTCCTCTGCTGTCCTCTGTCCTCTGCTGTCCTCTGTCCTCTACTGTCCACTGTCCTCTACTGTCCTCTGTCCTCTACTGTCCTTTGTCCTCTACTGTCCTCTGTCCTCTACTGTCCTCTGCTGTCCTCTACTGTCCTCAGTGTCCTCTGCTGTCCTCTGTCTTCTACTGTCCTCTGCTGTCCTCTGTCTTCTACTGTCCTCTGCTGTCCTCTGTCCTCTGTCCTCTGCTGTCGTCTGTCTTCTGCTGTCCTCTGTCCTCTACCTCTGTCCTCTGTCCTCTGTGTCCTCTGTCCTCTGCTGTCCTCTACTGTCTTCTGTCCTCTGCTGTCCTCTGCTGTCCTCTACTGTCCTCTGCTGTCCTCAGTCCTCTACTGTCATCTGCTGTCCTCTGTCCTCTGCTGTCCTCTGTCCTCTACTGTCCTCTGTTGTCCTCTGTCCTCTGCTGTCCTCACGCTGTCCTCTACTGTCCTCTGTCCTCTACTGTCCTCTGTCCTCTACTGTCCTCTACTGTCCTCTGTCTTCTGTCCTCTGTTGTCTTCTGTCCTCGACTGTCCTTTGTCCTCTACTGTCCTCTGCTGTCCTCTACTGTCCTCAGTCCTCTACTGTCATCTGCTGTCCTCTGTCCTCTGTCTTCTACTGTCCTCTGCTGTCCTCTGTCTTCTACTGTCCTCTGCTGTCCTCTGTCTTCTACTGTCCTCTGCTGTCCTCTGTCCTCACGCTGTCCTCTACTGTCCTCTGCTGTCGTCTGTCTTCTGCTGTCCTCTGTCCTCTACTGTCCTCTGCTGTCCTCTGTCCTCTGCTGTCCTCTACTGTCCTCTGTCCTCTGATGTCCTCTGTCCTCTACTGTCCTCTGTCCTCTACTGTCCTCTGCTGTCCTCTGTCCTCTACTGTCCTCTCTCTACTGTCCTCTGTCCTCTGTCCTCTACTGTCCTCTGTCCTCTACTGTCCTCTGTCCTCTACTGTCCTCTGTCCTCTACTGTCCTCTACTGTCCTCTGTCCTCTACTGTCCTCTGCTGTCCTCTGTCCTCTACTGTCCTCTGCTGTCCTCTGTCCTCTACTGTCCTCTGCTGTCCTCTGTCCTCTGCTGTCCTCTACTGTCCTCTGTCCTCTGCTGTCCTCTGCTGTCCTCTACTGTCCTCTGATGTCCTCTGTCCTCTACTGTCCTCTATCCTCTACTGTCCTCTGATGTCCTCTGTCCTCTACTGTCCTCTGTCCTCTACTGTCCTCTGCTGTCCTCTACTGTCTACTGTCCTCTACTGTCCTCTGTCCTCTGCTGTCCTCTGCTGTCCTCTGTCCTCTGCTGTCCTCTGTCCTCTACTGTCCTCTGTCCTCTGCTGTCCTCTACTGTCCTGTCCTCTGCTGTCCTCTGTCCTCTACTGTCCTCTGTCTTCTACTGTCCTCTGTCCTCTACTGTCCTCTACTGTCCTCTACTATCCTCTGTCCTCTACTGTCCTCTGACCTCTACTGTTCTCTGTTTGTGAGTCTGACTTGTCTTCATTGTTGTTGAGTGTGTAGCAGTTGTGTGTTCATGTTGAGTGTGTAGCAGTTGTGTGTTCATGTTGAGTGTGTAACAGTTGTGTGTTCATGTTGAGTGTGTAGCAGTTGTGTTTTCATGTTGAGTGTGTAGCAGTTGTGTTTTCATGTTGAGTGTGTAGCAGTTGTGTGTTCATGTTGAGAGTGTGTAACAGTTGTGTGTTCATGTTGAGTGTGTAACAGTTGTGTGTTCATGTTGAGTGTGTAGAAGTTGTGTGTTCATGTTGAGTAACAGTTGTGTGTTCATGTTGAGTGTGTAGCAGTTGTGTGTTCATGTTGAGTGTGTAGCAGTTGTGTGTTCATGTTGAGTGTGTAGCAGTTGTGTGTTCATGTTGAGTGTGTAGCAGTTGTGTGTTCATGTTGAGTGTGTAGCAGTTGTGTGTTCATGTTGAGAGTGTGTAACAGTTGTGTTTTCATGTTGAGTGTGTAGCAGTTGTGTGTTCATGTTGAGTGTGTAGCAGTTGTGTGTTCATGTTGAGTGTGTAACAGTTGTGTTTTCATGTTGAGTGTGTAGCAGTTGTGTGTTCATGTTGAGAGTGTGTAACAGTTGTGTGTTCATGTTGAGTGTGTAACAGTTGTGTGTTCATTTTGAGTGTGTAGCAGTTGTGTGTTCATGTTGAGTAACAGTTGTGTGTTCATGTTGAGTGTGTAGCAGTTGTGTGTTCATGTTGAGAGTGTGTAACAGTTGTGTGTTCATGTTGAGTGTGTAACAGTTGTGTGTTCATGTTGAGTGTGTAACAGTTGTGTGTTCATGTTGAGTGTGTAGCAGTTGTGTGTTCATGTTGAGAGTGTGTAACAGTTGTGTGTTCATGTTGAGTGTGTAACAGTTGTGTGTTCATTTTGAGTGTGTAGCAGTTGTGTGTTCATGTTGAGTAACAATTGTGTGTTCATGTTGAGTGTGTAGCAGTTGTGTGTTCATGTTGAGAGTGTGTAACAGTTGTGTGTTCATGTTGAGTGTGTAACAGTTGTGTGTTCATGTTGAGTGTGTAACAGTTGTGTGTTCATGTTGAGTGTGTAGCAGTTGTGTGTTCATGTTGCGTGTGTAGCAGTTGTGTGTTCATGTTGAGTGTGTAGCAGTTGTGTTTTCATGTTGAGTGTGTAGCAGTTGTGTGTTCATGTTGAGTGTGTAGCAGTTGTGTGTTCATGTTGAGAGTGTGTAACAGTTGTGTGTTCATGTTGAGTGTGTAGCAGTTGTGTGTTCATGTTGAGTGTGTAGCAGTTGTGTGTTCATGTTGAATGTGTAGCAGTTGTGTGTTCATGTTGAGTGTGTAGCAGTTGTGTGTTCATGTTGAGTGTGTAGCAGTTGTGTGTTCATGTTGAGTGTGTAGCAGTTGTGTGTTCATGTTGAGAGTGTGTAACAGTTGTGTGTTCATGTTGAGTGTGTAACAGTTGTGTGTTCATGTTTGAGTGTGTAGTACAGTTGTGTGTTCATGTTGAGTAACAGTTGTGTGTTCATGTTGAGTGTGTAGCAGTTGTGTGTTCATGTTGAGTTTGTAACAGTTGTGTGTTCATGTTGAGTGTGTAACAGTTGTGTGTTCATGTTGAGTGTGTAACAGTTGTGTGTTCATGTTGAGTGTGTAGCAGTTGTGTGTTCATGTTGAGAGTGTGTAACAGTTGTGTGTTCATGTTGAGTGTGTAACAGTTGTGTGTTCATTTTGAGTGTGTAGCAGTTGTGTGTTCATGTTGAGTAACAGTTGTGTGTTCATGTTGAGTGTGTAGCAGTTGTGTGTTCATGTTGAGAGTGTGTAACAGTTGTGTGTTCATGTTGAGTGTGTAACAGTTGTGTGTTCATGTTGAGTGTGTAACAGTTGTGTGTTCATGTTGAGTGTGTAGCAGTTGTGTGTTCATGTTGAGTGTGTAGCAGTTGTGTGTTCATGTTGAGTGTGTAGCAGTTATGTTTTCATGTTGAGTGTGTAGCAGTTGTGTGTTCATGTTGAGTGTGTAGCAGTTGTGTGTTCATGTTGAGAGTGTGTAACAGTTGTGTGTTCATGTTGAGTGTGTAGCAGTTGTGTGTTCATGTTGAGTGTGTAGCAGTTGTGTGTTCATGTTGAGTGTGTAGCAGTTGTGTGTTCATGTCTATATGTCTGATTTGTGTTATTGAGGGTATTGTTTGTTTATATTTTAGTGTGTTATGTTTTATCTGATTGTGTTGTGTGTATTTTTGTTCCCTTCAGGAGGACACACAACTGTCCAGGGACTACGCTTTGGCTAATTATGGCATATTTACATGTATAATGTATATTAATATGCACTGTCCCTTTTATAAATAAATAAATAAAAATAAGTTCTAAAGATTCAGACAGAAAATATGGACCTAGATACTTTGCCTGCTCCTAATTTTTCAACTTTGCAAATATATGAACAAATCTGACCAAACAAAACCCTCAGAAAATGTCTAATAACCTAAATCCTATAAAACCAAACAGAAACTCAATCATTCAAAAATGTTCTTTAAAAGAACTATTGACGTCCACTGGACTCGTCACATGACATAACAGGACCACATGTATTCGCTAATACGTTATTGAAGAAAGATGTTTGAAAGAACTAATGGCGTCCACTGGACTCGTCACATGACATAACAGGAGCACATGTATTGGCTAATACGTTATTGAAGAAAGATATTTAAAAGGACTAATGACGTCCACTGGACCTGTCACATGACATTACAGGACCACATGTATTGGCTAATACGTTATTGAAGAAAGGTGTTTAAAAGGACTAAAGACGTCCACTGGACTCGTCACATGACATAACAGGACCACATGTATTGGCTAATACGTTATTGAAGAAAGATGTTTGAAAGAACTAATGGCGTCCACTGGACTCGTCACATGACATAATAGGACCACATGTATTGGCTAATACGTTATTGAAGAAAGGTGTTTAAAAGGACTAATGACGTCCACTGGACCTGTCACATGACATAACAGGAGCACATGTATTGGCTAATACGTTATTGAAGAAAGGTGTTTAAAAGGACTAAAGACGTCCACTGGACTCGTCACATGACATAACAGGAGCACATGTATTGGCTAATACGTTATTGAAGAAAGTTGTTTAAAAGGACTAATGACGTCCACTGGATATGTCACATGACATAATAGGACCACATGTATTGGCTAATACGTTATTGAAGAAAGGTGTTTAAAAGAACTAATGACTTCCACTGGACTCGTCACATGACATAACAGGACCACATGTATTGGCTAATACGTTATTGAAGAAAGTTGTTTAAAAGGACTAATGACGTCCACTGGACTTGTCACATGACATAACAGGACCACATGTATTGGCTAATACGTTATTGAAGAAAGATGTTTAAAAGGACTAATGACGTCCACTGGACTCGTCACATGACATAACAGGACCACATGTATTGGCTAATACGTTATTGAAGAAAGGTGTTTAAAAGGACTAATGACGTCCACTGGACTCGTCACATGACATAACAGGAGCACATGTATTGGCTAATACGTTATTGAAGAAAGGTGTTTAAAAGGACTAATGACGTCCACTGGACTCGTCTCATAACAAACAACTATTGGATAATACATTCTAGAATGAAGGGAGGAAATGATGCAAACATTAAAAACACCACAGTATATGTGACAAGCAAATACCAAATAAAACAAGAATTAATTACAGCAGAGGGGCCCCTCAGTGGATACCTTATCCTTAAACGCGAAACGCGTTGGTCCCATTCTCATATTAAAGGACTTTTTATCAGAGTGCCTCGGATTTAACCCTGTCTTTACTCTCCTACAGAATAGGTATCTTTTTTTTGCATTGTTAATTCTCATCCTGAAGAGCACCTGATTTTAACTACGTCTTTGACTTTTGGACCCAGTAGCACTCACTCCCCCTGTTCTCTATATAAATATTGACTTTGAGAAAATTATATTAATGTTATCCTGTTTTATGCAGGTTGTTTTTTTAGACCTGGACTGTTTGGTGCTTGGCTGATGTCACAGAGTTTGCAACGTCTGTCGCTGGATCCAGAGAAGGACGACGCCCGACCATCTCCGTTCATCCACCTTGGCCTTCATCGAAAACAGCCGAATAGCTAAGATTTTGTGCACATCCAACAACAGTAAAATCAAACTACCCGGGTAGGTACAATTTTTTTTTTCAGAGCTCTGAACTTAATTTTTTTGGTTAATCCAAAGGGACTGATACACATTACATAGGGGTAAACGTTTTTTTTCAAGGTACATGTGTTTCAGAAATAAATGCCGGCTTTTGTCAACTTTTCATACTAAACATTTGTGCTCTAAAATTATTAAACCTCCCTTCCTCGAATCCTAGAATCACAGCGGTTCACTTTATACAGGTTACTCTTATATAGCGCTTTTTTGGACACTCAAAGACGCTTTACAAAACACATAAAAATAAACATTGAAAATCAAAATGAAGGAAAGGCTGAAACAGGTGTGTTTTGAGAAGAGATTTAAAGTTCTGTAGTGAGTCTGAGTTTCTGATTGGTTGAGGGAGTGAGTTCCAGAGAGTGGGGGCGGCTGCAGCGAAGGCTCAGTCCCCCAAGGTTCGGTGTTTAGTCCTGATGGGAGTGAGGAGGTTGGAGTCAGTGGATCTGAGGGACAGTGATGATGGAGGAGGTCCGTGAGGTCAGAGGGGGGCAGGTTATGGAAGGACTTGTGGTATGGAACAGGGAGCGACGGGGAAAGGCTGTGATTTCTGGATAGGTCGACAGGGGAATTGATTTCAATGGAGAGATGGTGAGAGGAAGAGCTGTGCAGGGTTGTGTTGGGCTCGAACCCACAACCTTCAGGCTTTAATGGCCAATGCTTTACCAACTGAGCCCGCGCGTTCCATATCATATCAGTAAATATGACTAGTAACATACAAACATATGTATTCGTACACTAATTACTCTACTTTCAAGTTGCCCACTAGGAATGCCCTCA